TTTGACATAAGTGAGAAAGTCACATTGACTTTATCCTATCAGCAACACTTGTAAACCCTACAGTCAACAAGGACAAAAAATGGAACACGTGGCTACATCATTAGGCATTTGATAAGCATAGTAAGTTTCTCACAAATGTACCCATGTCACAGATAAGGAATGTGGGGAGCGGATACTGTATAAGAAGTAATCCCTGACATAACAGAGTATAAGTGATATCTAATGTAAGAGATAAGATCATTCTTTCCAAACTGACATTTGTTTACCTCAAACATGACTTGCCAGAACAGGTACTACTGGACTGAGCCAAACGCTCCTGCCCCTTTGTAGAACTTTCTTTGTTGTGTGTGTTTTTACTTCTTTGTCTGGTTGGTTTGTGAACACAAAAATCAGAACATACACCAGAAACAATCCTATCAAGCTACAGAACTGGCACAAAATAGGTTCAACTGATCTAAGGAGTTCATCAAACTTCACCTGAGTCACTGTGCTCTCTTCGTTCAGATCATTTTTGCAGAAGTTTTTCAAGAAGAAAACAGTGAGCCCTAATGAACTATCACTTAATGTGATTGCACTATCACCTACAGGTACTCCCTGTTTGTGTTTGTAAAAACTGAAAACATGAAACATGTCTATAAGGCTACATCAAAGTGGTCTGCATATTTGCTTGTCTTTAGTTCTTTTAAAGCTTTGTTTTTCTTACTCTTTTAATATCTTTATTTAGATAATTATTGGATTTTAATTCCTTAGTTCATTCCCTGTTCTGGGTAAAGTCGCAGTCATTAAACCTATATTCTTAAAGTCAGTACTCATAAATACTTGACTGTACTGGACTGTTATTGAAATAATAGCCAAAATCAGAGTTTACCAAGTAAGAAAGTGGCTGAAAGGATAAGGATATTGGTTCTAGTGTTACTTGAACAATCAAAGCTATTTTGTTTTTCAGATTTGCTTCATCTGTTTAATATTTTTACCTCTAAAAAACTGAGATTTTAGTTGAAAAGCAGAAGGTCGTTTCATCTTCTCATCTATATAAAGAGCATTGCTTGCTTAAAATAATTTGCCACTGGATGATATATTAAAATATGCAGGGTACTGCAACTAAAAAAAAAAAGTTTCCCGGACTTAAGTTTGTGAAAGAACACCGAGTTTGCTCCCATGCTTTACAAGTTAGGGACACAGCCCCTGCCTTTTGTGTTCATATTCAATGGCCATTGTTGCAGAACGCAGAAACTGCAAGGTTCTGATTGGCCGTCGAGCTGGATACATTGAACTGTAATTACCTGCCCGGCTGCCTCTGATTGGGTTGGCCTCAAGCAGCCGCTGGCCCCCTGGCTGATAAGTTGTATCCTCTTGGCACAACTTTTTTTCTGGAATGAAGTAACTTCTCAGCTGTTGGTGGTGGTGCACGAAAACTAGCAAGAATGAAGTTGTGTGGAACTTTTCTCGGTTCGTAATCAAACAAACTTTTCATTACTTCTCTTTTCAGTGCTTTTCTGGCTGTGCCAAGTTTGATGAAAAACGAGGCCTTTTGGGGGGCTCGGGAGCTAAAAGGGACAATCGAGAGCCTTGTCCAGAAAAAAAAAAGTCACTTGTTCGCAGAGATGTTTTTTGTCTGTTAGACCATGAGCGAAGTTTATAGGTAAACTGGTAGTTTATAGGTAATGCCAATAAACTACCAGTTTTAATGATTGAAACGCTTTGCTAGCAATTGTATTTTAATACTTGTAATGCCAGTATTTTGTAGTGTTCAAAATATAAGTTAAATGTTTGTTGCGCGTTATTGCGTTATTTAGGTGATGGGTGAATTAAAGCACACGTATTATTTATGCACACGTATGTCGTTAAGAAATGATAGGGCGAAATGATCGTTTGAAAATGGTTTTGTTTTATTAACTCTCTAATGCTCAGATAGGAATATTTTCACTTTTTAGACCTTCGGTGACAGGAACCCTGATTAGTATATTTAATTTAACTAGGACTGTTCTTTTCTTTACCGTATTTGTGCTGTATTTTTATGCCCAACGCGTAAAAATACTGTACATCCTTTACTGCTTTTGATTTGGGGGGTGAATTTACGTTGAAAAAAGTTTTAAAAATTATTTAAACCTACTTTTTCTATTGTAAGTCTCATTCCGAAGAAATAATCTTTGCACCAGTAGAAGTAGTATTTTTACGATCATAGGCGATTTTTGTAGCTGTTGTTTGAAGTTCTAAGACTGAGCTGTTTAAAGTATGTAGATTCTTTTTTAAAAAAAAATATTCTTCGCAGACATTTACAAACAAAGGAAAGTTTGTTCCTGTGGGGATTTGCGGTCTGCCCGGGACAAGAACTGTTAGGACAATGTTAGCCCGGAGGCTTGTTAAGTTTTTTGTCTGTCAGTTTCTTCCATCTGTCAGGGGCCTTCGCTGGGCTGGGCGTCCCCCCTTTTCTGCACTTCAGCTGCTACCGTATACAATATTTATGCTGACCAGAGACCGTCACAATATAGCTACATCGCTAATTGTAGTCTGGAGCTGTAGGGTTGCCCATATGCATCTGCGCTTTTAAGAACTGACTTAAAAAAAAAGTTTCATCCCAGCTGGTAACCGAAGAAGCTGAGACTCATTAAATATACAGAAACTTTTGATTCGTTCATTCAACTGTTGCTCTTTGGATATTTCTATTTTTACATAAACGAGTCACTTATAATAAATCTGCACCCGTGATGAAAACAAAATAAAAGTGCCTTTGTTGTTAATATTTGTGAAAGTATTAGTTAAAGTAATTGCTTTGTTGCTAACTTTGTTGAATAACAGTTTAACAACGCAGAGAAGAAAATAGCTTAAATAACTGATTTTTTTTATGTTCACCTCTTATGGCTTAATAGTTACATTTCACTGTTACTGCTACGTTTTATTTTTTTTTAATTGTACTTACATTTCTTGAACAATAATAATGGTGTATTTAGAGGAAATGGTCGCAGCCTCGTTTTATATATTAATAACCAGAAGAAAAAAAGGGGTAAATCCGCAAAAATAAAACCCCGGAAACAGATGAAAGCCTAAGTAAAGTGAAGTTTTTTTTTTTCGAGACCACCTTCATTGAACAACCGCCGTGTATTGTTTTCATGGTTAAAGTCACACTTAAGGGAAATAACACTTAAAAATAATCCGGGATGTGCTTCAATCAACCGAGATATAACGCACTCAAGGGAGATTCACTGAAAAGTCTACATTGAAGTTACTGCGGTTTCATTTTGTCTTTATCTCGAATGCCCGTCCGTTATCAGCGTGTTGTCAGTGCAGCCGGTTCATTAAATCGCTGTCCATGGTGCTGAAACCAGGAACATGTAAGAGGGGAGGAGCTATCTCAGGTCCTGAAGCTGTGCTTGGCCCAACTACTGAGGTTTTTTTTGTTCGTTTGCAGACCTATAACCAAACTTTTCGCCGATTTTATTCGCATACGATATTTACCGTCCTCTTCTTAGTATTGCATATATCGTCACTCTTAGACTCCCGAACAATTTTGGGTAGCTGGTGCTACAATGCATTTGTCTTGCCCTTTGTTTACTCCACAGTGGCTCATGTTTGGAAAAAGATAGTATTAAGCTCCATGCAGCACTGCAGCTGAAATCAGGCTGATGTGTTGTGGACACTAGTGATTGATTTCAGCTTGAATGCATAACAATGGGAGTGCAAAAAAATTATGCCTGCTGCATAGAGATAAGAATTTAATAGAATTTCTGAAAGGCGAAGGTTAGCTTTTGAATATTCCCTGCATGCACAGTGTGGAAGAACGAGATAAAGGATGGCATTTGAGGAGAATACTCTCAAATGGGTTGTAATGAATGGTTGTCATTTTCACTAATGGTTACCAAACAACAAAAGAAACGATGCTGTGTGCAACATTTGAGAATAATTCAAAGTTCTATTTTTTAAGGCAAAGCACAATGTGTAACAATTGTTTAAGATTTATTTTACAAAAGTTATTATTGAGAGTCCCGATAGGCTTTATGGTTGGTCCTGCTTGTTTTTACAAGTTCTTTTCAAATTACAATGGTCATTCTGTTCCCGAAATTATTAGCAGCATTATTTTTGGATACAAACTGATGACGGAAGCATTCTTTTCTGGTCATTTGCGCATAAATACCTTGAGCTGCTGTTCAATCACAACGTGTTTTGGTGTAAAGAATTAGGAACAAAGAATTGGAAATTAATCTGGAATTCTGAACGCATGATTCTGTTTCATTGAAGCGTGAAATGAAAATTATGAGCATCCCACATGAGTTTCTCGAAAGAACTTTTTGACAGTTGATGAAGTTAAACGTAAAGGAACTTAGCACAGAGAATTAACATTGAGCTCAAATATATTTTTACAAGAAAAAGCCTGCCTGCACACACCCACACATACACTTAAAAAAACACACGCTTTCATTTGTTTGTGGTAGGACAGAAAGTGACAAAAATAAATAATCCGAAAACCTGTATTAAAATGCGACGGGTAAAGGTAATACTTTTTTTTTTTGCTTGATGTGGTTCGTATTCAGTTGAAACCAGAAAAATAATGCAATCTACTTGAGATGTATATATGCTAACCCAGGGCATACATCAATTCCCTTGTCGGTAAAGTGTTCATTGTAAGAATTATTGGACTGTACCATGTGAAAGGGTTTCTAGAGGGAGGTCTCGAATGACAGTTGTGACATATGCAACCTTTCGTGGCAGTAGATAGCGGATATTAAATATTAATCAGCTGGCGTGAATTAAGTGCCTTCTGCTTCTCTCTGTTCGGAAAGACGGAAGAGAACCGAAACGTAGCGATGTTTTTTAAAAAAATGTTTTGTAAGTGTACATTTATTTTGGTAGTTCCCCAATAAAATATGCCATAGTGCGAAATTCATCCCCCGGTATACAGGCATAAAGAAGAAAACCAATGGGTTTCTGGGTATGATATTTAAATACAGGGAAGAGCTTACTGACTTCTATCATATTACTGTGTTATGGCTAATGGGTTACGGTGATATTTTCACGTAGACGTGCAAGTTGCCACCCTGCAGAAAGGGGCGAAAGTGGTATTTATATATATTCATCAGTGTACACATGCCCACTGAATCAAAGTGGGGCTACACAAGCGCCCTGCCCACCCCTTGATGTAAATTTTACTACAGCTTTCCGTGATGTCATGGCAAACGAGGGGTGGAGGGGGGGGCGGACAATGGTTCATGAGGGAAAGGTAAGTCAATATTACGTTCTCTCGCTGACAAAGGCAAATGAAGCCATGTTTTTGCCTACGAATAAATAATATGTAATGCTCCCCTTAAGAGATCTGCACCTTTAACCGAGGATTCTCTGCTGTCGTTACGTTCTCCTTTTTCCAACCAAATCTGGATATCACTGGATATTTTTAAGGTTTTCTGAAGCAGCCCCGGGATATTAAGGACAAACTGCTTGACTCTGAATTAAATTGACTAAATAATAAAGAAGAGGAACCCTCGTTTTCCGAGTAGGAGAAAGCTTTAATGGAAAATCTTTCTCTTCAGGTATTTACAATATTCCTATCTATTTTTGCGTTTTGTAATTGGATGATAATTGTAAAGGTTGATAATGTGGAGAGCTGCGTTTTATTTTTGTGTCTAGTTTGGCATTTAACGAACTAAAGTACACATATTATTTTAGATTCAAACTGCGGTTCGGTGATAAGCTTATTTGCAAATCTGTTTGAATTCTTCGGTCTTGCCAAACATCCGATGTTCTGCTTTCAGTTGCTTTAATGGACGCCTCGCTCTTAATCTCTTAAAGAGGTAGATGGATGTTGTTCTGTTAAATATTTTAAAAAGCGACGGTCGTGTCCGTAAGTTTTTTTTTCTAGTTGTTTGAGGATATATTTTTCTTTCTGTTAGGAGAGGTGGGAGGGTTTCAGTGCTGACACAATAATTAAAATAGCTGCTCTTTGCAAAAACTGATAGTGTTGATTTGACTTCTGTTTTTACTCTAGAAAATTTCCCTGTTCTGAATTCCAGAAAACGAATTTAGCTTTTACCATACAGGTCCATAATTGTATGACCCTCTCACAAAATGTGCGCTTTACCGACTTTAATTACTCTAAGACATTTTTTTGTCATATATGGAAGGCTTTCCAACAATGCATTGTTATTTTCCCACTGCCTATAGTATATTACTATAATGATATACTGTAGGATGAATGAGTTTTTTGTGTTTTGGTGTACAACGGGGTCTACTGTTTAGTTATTTTTAGTTTTAGATATTTCATTTAGTTAATCTGTATAAAACATCTCGACCCAAAAGATAGAACATTATGCAATTACAGGTAACTATCAGTTTTCAAGATGAATAATATAGCTATTGTTATTATAAGTATACGTCTCGACATTGAGCTCAGACGCTTATGTTAGTTTTGGAAATTCATTGCTCTCTACCCATATTAGTTGCTCCGGGTATAAAACTTCAAATATATCCTGAACTTTAATGAAGTTTTTATTGCACGAAGTATGTCTAAGACTTTTTTTTCTTTCATCGTTCGAAAAATCCATATAAATTGCGTCTTCAATTTCTCCTGTTAATAAATAATTTAAATGATATGTCTTTTAGTAGTTTCTCTCTTGTAGCCTCATCTGCTGCCGTTATCACTTCCTTCCATATGGTCTCTTTAATTAAGGGCAAACAATGGCCGTAATACAGGAATCGGAGTCTATACATGGGAAAGGGGAGGGGCGGAGGGGCAACTGATTTTCTGCATCGGAAAACAGGATGGAGATGCTCTCCTCAAATGTCAGCCACTCCTAGCTTGGTGCGCACTGAGAAGTCATCAGCGTTTCATGCCGCTCTGAGTTTAGTACCACTTGCGATGTAGCCCCCTCCCCATCCCCCCATTGTACAGCCAGTTTTGCGACACTGAAGGCGAATCTCGTGTAGGTCTGTATCACAGCCAATGGAAGTTTGCTATTTTCTTATGGACCTCCTATGTGTCAAAATGGGGCGGAATTCACAAGCTTTATTCCAGGGCTATAAGTTTCATGTGATCCGTCCGTTTCTCTCTCAAAAAATGTGCAATAGCCCTTTGGAGCAAAAAAAAAAGAGCTGCGAACACTGAAATGTGATGTATACTTTGTGCGTTAATTGCTTCTTTTCTTAATTATCTCATTTTTAGAAAGTGTTAATCGTTCTACAAAACCATACTTCCCAACATAGCTTAAAAGCATCTGGGCTGAGATTCTGTTGTCCAGATCACATTTTGATTTTTCTTACTTTAGGTATGTTCTCACTCGATGTTCTGTTTTCTCGTGGTTTAAGCTATAAAACCGTATTTATACAATGAACCTAAATATTATGCCAATTGTTAGATTTATTCCAGTGCATGAATGGTATTTGTGTGTTTTGCTGCCAATAAGTATAAGTAATACAAGTTGTTAAAAATGAGTAAAGACGTCTAATGTTTAACTTGCCTGTATCTCGGATAATGTTGTTGGAAGCTGAGCATTTCTCTTTGTAAATTGCAAGTCAGGGTTTGGCTAAGTTTGAAAAATCAAACCATTGAATACATACCGATAAGATAAGCATGACACAGGCCTAGTGCTGTCGTACAAGAAAGAGTATAGGCCTACGGTAAATTGATTTGTGCTAAATATAGGAAACTAGGACGATGTAAAATGTTTCTTTTGTTGTACTCACCAAAGAGCTTCTCGGTGTTGTCCAAAAGGTTCATAAACTAGTGGACAAATTCACTCTCCTTCGTCTAAATCCGTTCATTGTATTATTTATTAATTCATTATTGATATTTCCGGATTGTGTGTGCAAAATTGATTATTATGGAGAAAAGCGATTAGCTATTGTTATGCGGAGCTATTCTGTTCTGACATTTGCTGTGATGTGGTTTGCCTTCGGCTACGTGTTTCCTGCATTCGAAATTACTTTTGAGCGTGAATAGCTTTTAAAATTATTCCAATAAAGTTTCAGATGGGGAAGAAAATTCCTACGCAACGTAGACTAAAGAAATTCTTAATCAGACCTTCTTTTGAAGAAAAATAATATTTACCATTCGCAAGGATCCCCTACGATGAAACTGAATATTAATTATTCCTCGTGAAAGACAGGACAAAGAAACAGACTGAGTGTATCTGACACAATATTTGCCTGTTAAACATTCATACAGTTAATAAAATAACAACATAACTGAGCTCTTCGAAGAGCTAGTGGTTTGATGGTTATCTTATATTACAAATTTACATGAACATTTCTAATTAGTTTTTTCTTATTTTATCATTTTGCCTACGCACGTTTCCTATTATGTGGACAGCACGTTCGTAAAAGTGCTGATTAAAAAGCTCTTATTGCCCCTGGTGACAGGACCAGGTGTCATAGGAACGCAGAAGTGGAAAACGCGATAAGCGTTTCCAGTGAAACAGCTGGGTCAAACTGTGCGTCCTTTTATTCAATGCATATAATCAAAACTCGAGCGATTGAAACGCGAGTCAGGGTCACCCAAGTCATCAATAAAAAATGTCACCAGCGATGTACTAAGGCAAGAAGCCTTGAAACGGAATGTTTTTAACGGGATGGATGGGTAGGCTTTAAAACAACCTCTATTATCAAAGATGTTACATAATGTGCAATTAATTTTCACAACCCACCTCTTACAAAATCCATTCTTACAAAAATGCACAGTCGACCTCAAATCCCGCTTAATAAGGTTCAATGTAAAACTAAGCTTAAGCTGGGAGGAGGGAAACTATCAATTCAAATAAACTATATGGAATGCTTTATAGAAATAGTTACTCCTTAAGATATAAAAGACTTTCTTTTATACTAGTAGCATGCAAACTACCCATAACTGAGTTTAAAAACATTCAATTCTTTACAATCCTTGTTCAGTGAGAGTTCAATGTCTGAAAGCTTGGCTGAAAACCTTAATTTCACAAAGTATCCCTCTTTCTTAAAAATCAATTGCAGAAACCTGACAGTTCTTGGACTCAAACAACTAAAACAACAAGAAAACACTTTATGTCAAATGATTACATATGTAAGTGCCCATTGCCTCTTAATCCTAACATTTAACAATTAGATATATTTTTGAAACAGGTTTACTGTGAAAGCATGGTACTGTACATACATGTAAACCTGTAAAAATAGATGATCAGAGTTCAATTATTTCAAAAGTCAGGTACATTGCTATATGTTTTGTGAAGGGAAGTCTATTTATCTTTTTATCTTTTTGAACTGTGTCAGTAATTCAGATTCAGACATTTAAGCAAAACAAATTACATCACAACTCGAATAACGGGATTTACATATATCCTCTCTTTTAAGTTTGTTAATATAAGATTTGGGTATGTTAGATATGTTAGAACATGATAAATGTGCCACTTTCGAGAAGCTTTCCTGACATATGTTCTGTAGAACAAAACTCTGTGTACAGAACTCACAGGCAAGCCAACTGAAAGCTGAAACTGACTTAAAATACAATATGTACTTCTTTAAATACATGTACAATACACAAACAATACAAGTATATTATATTTTTATCTTAAAAATCTTAACGTGAAGCTGTATTTTGGGTTTTTTTCATTGTTTTTTTCTTTTCCTGTTTTTATGGTGCTGGCATTCTTTTGTCTCTAATCACACAATGTTGCTTTTAAATCCTGTCTAAGTAGAACTCTAGCATGCATCTGGATGGCTTTTGGATTATTGTAAACCTACACTTTGCAGTTTAATCTGAACTATGGATTTAATTCCCCCATTGCTTAAATCTTACAGTTTTGCATAGTACTTTACAATTGTTCAATTTTGATTGCTTTGAGTGAACTATTATTGTGCAGTTTCAGGTTAATCAAGACCGTGCTTTGTTCTAGCTTGAATTAGAACATGTTTATGGTGTATCATTGGAAAAATTAGGCATCACAGGTTTTTGTCAGTCAGTAAATCAAAATAATGTTGAATGTTATTCTGCTTATTATATTGCATTTGTGATCTTCTTATTTACATTTTTTATCCTAAGATAAGAAGCTTGATTAAAATCCCATATTAATCTAATACAAAGCCCATATTCAGTCTACAAGCACATTCATTGTTAAACAGATTTTCTCCCCAAAGTCATTCTAAATAAAAGACTAGAATAGATAGCATGAGAACTAAGTTTATAAATAAGGAGCAAATTAACAATTCATCAAAATATGGAGTTTTTACCATTGTAAAGCTTTTACTGGAAATTAGGACCCTCAGAAAGCTATGCTCAGGCTCTGTTTATCACAAGGCTATTTAGCCAATTTTTTAAACCTCTATTTGCTTTTCTATTTACATGTTTATTTCAGTAACATTTCTCTGGTGATCTGTAGATGCTTTGGAATAAAACCAGTGTTGAAATTTCTCTTGATGTGCCAGAAGCATCTCACGAGGCTCTTGATAAGCAATGATGGGCGAGAGAGCAAGTATGAGATTGTTGATTCTAATTGCAAGCAAACTGCTAAGTGTACTTGTTTAGTTTCAGCATGCTTTCCCATCTGTGTGTGGAGTAGTCACCAGTTGTATTCCGAGAGTTTCCTGTGTTAGTGCTGAGTGTAACAGATGGAGGTGCAGGAGTGCAGCTTTCAGGAAATTAACCAGATTGGTAGGAGTGGGGTGTAGGTGGGTGGGGGATCAACCTACCTGGTGTTTCTCCTGGGAAAGTGAAATTCAGCTACAGTGTTTATTTGTACAAACAAAAGCTTGAGGTAAAATCCATAACAGCGTATGTTTGGGAGAAAAAAAATAGGTAAATATTGGCCAAGTACATTGTCATTTCATTCTTGTTTTCCTTCTATGATTTGCTACACTGGGTTTAAAATTAAAAATTAGAAAATAATGTTAGCGTTCATTAATTCTGAATGCATTGATACATGATTCTATCTTTTCTCTAAAAGCTTCAGTGATATTTATTTGCTTTTCAGCGTCCACAGGGCAAAGGTTTTAGGCTTCTGATTTTACAAAAAAAAACGTAATTATTGTTGCTGTGTTCTGCAGGTATGGCACACAATACTTTATAGGTTTAATATTCATATGCTTTTCTGACTGCACACTATACTTTACACACTGAAGGAATTGTGTAAAACAAATTGTCTTTTAACAAATGGTTATAGAGTTAAACATCTATTGGGGTTATAACTGAAATCCCAGGGTGGATTTGTGAACTTGCTTTGCACCTGTGTTTTTTTTTGTAGCGACATGCTGTACTAATATTTATGTACATAACGGTATGTACAATGGTTTCATGCACGAGGCACATGTCCTATCTAAAGGAAAGGGGAAATATACCATTACCCTGATGAAATTGTTTTCATTTGTTCTTGATTAATTATTCACTGACCTCCCTGACCCCTTATCTTACTCTCGGAACTGCAAAAAGCACAATAAAAATGTGAGAAGTTGATTAATTCTAATGGCAGATTGAGGGGAACAGCTGGGATTCTGCACCACTGCATTTGCACACATTAGTTAATGGCAGTGATTTGTGCTTATTTGTGTGTGGTCAGCTCTTATGGTTTTCACCGTTGTTGTTGAATATTATTTTTCCTTTCTCTGCTCTTTCAGAAAATGAATTTCGAGGCGAGCTGCTGAATCAGAGGTGGACAAGAGGAGAAAGACTCAGCAGTTGTGGAACAACAAAAAGCCTGCACAGCAGACGAATCAAGGCAAGGGGCAATTGCATTCTGGTTTCATTTCTGCTTTTTATGCATTTTCAAGTCAGGGAGTTTATCATAAAGATGGTAACAGACAGCAAAATCACTGCTGGGCAAGGAGTATAAGCATATTGAATTTAAAATTCAGCCCATGCTACTATTTCTTTTAAATAGTTAAAAAAATGTTTGCAGTGCTTTCCAAAATTAAAACTACCCACTACTGAGGAAAAACATTAGATTTGGTTGTTCGTAACATCTGATTCTCTTTCATAGCGTTAACACATACAGTAGGTGAAAGTTTTGTTTCTTCATGCTTTTGGTTCTTCATGCTTTGAATAACTTTGAGGTTTTCCAAATATTTCTGAGATGCATGATCTCCACGGTCCTGAACAGGAAAGGGAACTATGTTTTCTAAGGTTTTTGTAATGTTTCAGGTTTCCCATTGATATTTGCAATACTTTAAAGGAAGAGGTTTTATTGACCTTCTTTCAACAGTAGTGGTGCTTTAAATTATTCACTTGGATTATTAAAAACTCGGCTTCATTTGCTTCCATGCAGCTTCAAGAGGATCTGAATATCTAAAATCGCGATCTTCTCCTTTGAGGGAGTAACCCAAGGAAAAAAAATGCATTTCCATTCGGAAAGGGTTTTGTTTTTCTCAGAGAATAAACATTAGTTATTCATAATCTGTTTGCTTTTTCCAGAACCAACTGAAAAAAAGTCCATTTAACCCCCAGCACTTCCACAAAGCAGCATCCCCATTGCACAGAATACAGGGGTCTTGGTTGTCTTTTCCTGTTTTGAATATGGTACTGCCTGATGGATCTTTTAATTGGCTTTGGTTGTCCATAGGTAATTTTAAAATGTCAGTCTTTCATTCTTCCACTAAAAGTGTTGCCTAGTGAATCTGGTATGTTATTCTTGGTTTTGCTTGTAAAAGTGAAAAGGAATAATAGGCTCGTTTATGCACATGGTGAAGAGGGTGACCTTCTCTATGAAGTCATTGCCCCCAGCCAGAAATTTACATATAGCTGTCAGAATGTGAGTCTCAAAACCTTCTCGTCTGTAGGAAGCACAAAGAAGGACATTATTAATAATGTACACAGGAGCCTAAGGGATAAAGATCCTCTCAGTTGCTTTCTATCAAAACTGCATCTTTTTTCTCTCTTCTTGTCCTTTCTACTGAAAAATGATGTACATGTTTAATTTAAAAGATTTGATGAAAAGCAAAGGTCAGGTTAAGTCTGCATTTCAATTCTTTGAAAATGAATGAAAAGGTGAATCATCACATATTTTTTTTATTTACAGACCCTTTAATTAATAATTTGGAGCTACTTTCAATTCATATATATATATAATGATGCACTTTTAGTTGCTTAAGTTACATTTAATTTAAAAAGCCTAAAAACTGAGCCAGCCTACACCATTCCTTGTAATCATGGTTTTTTTAAATCTGATCCTTTTTCGTTTTTTTAGTCATCATTTCATTAAACTGTAAAAATCAGTTTCACCATCAGATTGATGATTTCACATTCCTTTGTGATACATTAGTGAAATATAAAATACATCATTTTTAATGTGAATTAATGTGAAAAATCGGTTTTGAAATGTGAATTAAAAATTCCAGAGAAGATGTGTTTGGGAGAACAGAATCATGAAAAAAAAAACATTTGGGTAAGTTGTTGCAGAGAGATCGACTTTGAAACTGAGTTCAATTCCCTGTCCTTTTCATTTATTTCATACAACTTTCAATTACAGAAACTATTAAGACACAATGTAGATTGATGCCAAAATGGCCCTGGTACTACGCACAAAGACTACTTGTTGTCCATATTTACATTCATTTAAACTGATCAAAAGTCCTATTTGATTTGAGCACACTGCACCTGTACACAGAATCACTTGGAGCAGAACTGAACACACAGCACTTTTATGTAGCTCTCCTTTTAAAATAATTTATCTGCAGGAAGTAGCAATTGCCAGAGCAGCTCTGCTTAAATCAACTATGTCTCTGCCAACTTCACTCCAGACAGGAACAAAACCTCTAAGTGCATGGCTTGAGATAAACGTGGGGTCCCTAGTAATCAAAACTAATAGCCTTATTGTGTAAAAAGCATCAGATAGCTTAGAGTGTGGTATATTTAAAAGCATAATAAATGGAATTGAGGCATTCGGTGACACCTGCTCTTTTGTGCATAAATGTAGGCCAGAACTATACAGGGACCACATGCTCAAAATTAGGAATTACAGTAATTGTATTTTCTATTTCAACAGAGTAAGGCGGTAGCCATAAAGAGATCACTCAAGACTGAACACACTGTGCCATATGCAATTGTGTTTATTGTTCAGGTGCAATAAATTAGGGGTAGGGATGGATTTTTAAAATGCAGAATAAACACTAGGTTACATTTAGATAAATAGAGCCTTTTTACATTTATTTTTTGTACTGTAATCCTAAAACTGTTTTTTATTCTTTTGCCAAAATGGTTTAACAGCAATACAAGAGCTCTGTGCATATATTAGGGAAAAATAACTTAAACATGTGATTTTGTTTCTTTTCTACATATTTGGTCCAATGTAGCTCTCTAAAAATTGAGAAACAAGTCTGTGCCTGTTGTGATAATCCACAGAAAACTTAAAATTGTCTTGCACACAAGGGATACTGAATTAGGTACACATTTTTCCAAGGAAAACATGTATTTGTTTGCTAAGCATACTCCATTTTCCAGGTTTGCTGTTGGGAGAAAGTAACTGAAGTGTCACATTTTTCTTTCACCATTGCAACATGCCAATCATTGTTCTGCATAGAACAAACCAAACCACAAAGTATCATAATATAACAAAGCATGACAACACATGAATGCACACATTATGATATGATATTGCAAAGTGCCATGACTTTCAATTGTGTAATGTTTTCTCTTTCTTTTCCTACACTGAAACTGGCAGTAAAGAAGAAGGGAGAGTGAAAATTAAAAACAAGAAAGCATGAACTAAAACTTTCCAATTTAGTTTCCAACGAGTCAATCTCTGTCTGTGGACTATTTATCTGCACAGCTGCTAGTTTGAACATCAGCCTGAAATCCTTTGTACATTTTGTCCTGTTTTTTTTACAGATGAGTTTAGACAGTGACGACAAGAGAACACGAACACGATCAAAGGGAATTAGAGGTGAGTTAACATACATTATCACAGGAACAGTTTGATTGATGCTTTTCCACTCGGGGCATATTTGTTAAAATGTGTTTCATTTTAGTTATTTTTATCTTAAACATCTATGTATCAATACAATCCTTTGTATAGAATGTTGTGCTGAAAATGGATTAGAAAGAACAACAACCTTCAAGTGATCCAAATCACTCTGTCTTTGCAAAGACTGAATATGAATTACATTTATTTTCAAAATTTCATTTTCATTTAATTAAATTTGATTATAAAGGAATTAAATGTGAATATTGTTTTGTATTCAGGTTTTGGAAATATGCTGCAAATAAATATTTCTCTGTTTTGTACGTTTTTAAGTAAAGATAAGGTGATAGAATTAAACATTTAACTGATGGGTAACGTTTTGTGATGTTATTACTATATGTCCTGAATTAAACTGTTTTAGTTAAATTACACATGAAGTAGTTACAGTATATCTAGCGGAGTCTATATTATATTATTAAAAGAGTTTCAAATATATACTTATTTCTTGTTTTCTGTCTTTTGTCAATCTCTCAGTACCTGTAGAACTTGTAGGACAAGAATTAAGGTGAGAAAATTGTGGATTCTCTTCATAAATATGATTATATGAGTTAGAAGTGGAAAACAAAACCTTCATATATGTACATGTGTCAGAAAGATGACATCCACCTTTAACATCAGGAGGGACATTATATTGGCATAGTCACAGTCCATGCATTTCAATGACTCTTTCACTCCTTTATTCTGTTTTGCCCCATGATATCAACACCTGAGGATTGTAGACTGTCCTTATGCTGGCTCTGACAATCATAGCTAAAGTAAAAATAAAACCAGGGCACAGCACTAGTGATACCTTTTCTCTGGGAAAGGCAGTGGAAAAAAGGGACCAAACAAAGAAATGAGGGCATGGATATAAAGAGTCTGAAAAAGGCCAAGGTATCATTTTGGTGATGAGTGGATTCTCCTTTCAGAAACACATTATCACATATATACACATGGGTATTTATATAATATGCATTTAAAACTCATATTGTGTTTTTAAAATGCCTTTGGCTTTAATCTTGTTTTGCACATCCACTTTTTTATAATAAAATCTTTATTACTAATATGTGTTAGATGATTTGATTTGTCTTCTGCTTTTTTAAAATTGGCTCAATGAGGAATTACTGTTTGTGTGACTCCTGAAGTGTTTTGTTAGCACAAAATGCAGACAGTTAATTTAAGAATGTAAAATGCAAATCTGCTGAGGTTTTATTACCCATTTCTTTATAATATCAGATCATCCTTGTTCCCGAACCTGAGAAATAATATGATTCACCAGCATAGGTCACGGATTTTTTTCGAAGTCAATAAAAAGAGATGATGCTATACTGATCAGTTTCAAAATGCCCATTTACTCAGAGCAGTAGACACAGTTAGTCATCAGGACACAGCCTAGGAAAATTTGCAAATTCACAAGGGCATGCTGAGGACATTCGGAAACTTGAATAACTAGCACATAAATGATCTATTGACTACAACTATTTTAGTAATATAGCAACGAGTCCTTTTTGCATTTTCACGAACGGTACCATATAGATACAGTATATTCCCAGTTTGGCATTAATAAAGCTCCCATTGCTGTCATAAACCCATTGTTTCTGACCCAAAAGCCATTTCAGACTAATTCTGTCCATTTGTCACGCCTCCCTCTCCAGCATTGATCAAAATTCATAATACAATCTTACGGGCATTGACGGGAGTGAACACTCTACCTAATTTAGAATGTTAATGTAGCATGTAATAAATAATAATAGCAATAATAATAATCTCAAGGATTGATGAGGATACACATTAGCAATTATAACTACTGTGTGTTTCGCAAAAATGTGCAATAACTTCCCTATTGGCCTTGATCATTTCGTGCAAGTAATGGAAAGAAGAGGCCAGACTATGAAGCTTTGGATTTAATCTCAATAGCACACACAGGCACTTTAAATTCTAAATGTGAAATAACTTGTCAGTGATTAGGAGTGACTGCTGGTCCTGAGTTCCTTAATATTCTATATAACATTGACAATAAAGCACAACACATTTCACCAAGTTAGTCAGTTTACTTTTCCATTTGCATTATTTACAGCCCCAACAAAAGACTATGCATTCTCTCGGCAATTCTTCAGCAACGTGCCTGACCTTCCTTGCTGTCTGTGTTCCAGTGTGTATGAATGAGTGTGCTGTACCCTTGCAGTACTTTCTTATTTGAGATGGGGAGACAAACTAATTTGAACTAATTTATTTCTGACTCCATTCAGCTGCCCCACCCCTGGATGCAATGGCTCAGGTCATGTCAGTGGAAAATATGCAAGACACAGAAGGTAGGGTAGTATAACCCCCATTTCTGCAGTACAGACACTACATAGGTTGGACATTACAATACCAGGAAGCTAACGTTTCACATGTCAGCCACAATTATCAGTTTGTTTAAATTAATACTATTGGGGAAAAGTTACATTGGAGTTTATTCCAAAGCAGAGTCATTAAAAGGACAAGCATTGTTTCTAAAATTAAACGAATTGGTATTTTTTTTCAGGGTACTTTTTAATCTCACTGTGGAATTTTTTGGATTATAGATTTGCTACGTTTTTGAGTGAAAGCTTTGTTAATTTCCATCCTCTACTTTCTCAGTTCACTGAAGTGTCCAGTTTGCAGCAGTCAACTGGATGTAATCATGTGTGTACTAACACATTATTCCCTACTGAACTATAGCAAACATCTATCCACGATACATCAATATCTCTGTCATTCACTCATCATGAACAGACAATTCATTGAAATCCTATATTAACCATACATGACCACACCACTTTGATCATATCAGAGAGAGAAATACAATTGTTTTGCTAACTGTATTTTTGTTACCTCCAAATGAATGGAACTCATATTTGTCACAACAGCTGTATTTCAGATTCTGGCCAGGCTTCAGCGAAAAAATTGTGTAAAGAGCGTTCCTGACATTTTTCTCTACACATCCATGTGCTTCCTTCTCCAGTTTACAGAGCTGCCCATTGGCCAAAAAAAGAAAACACCAGGATGTGGATGCAGACCAGCCCACATCTAAAAGGAAGTCCCACCCCCTGAAGCTGGCTCTTGATGAGGGGTACAATGTGGACAGTGATGGCAGTGATGAGATGGAAGCCAAGGAGGACTCCACAGCTGATGAATCAGAAGAGGCTTTGGAGGACGATCAAGAAGAGATGGCTGAAAAAGATGGGAGTGTGGAGAGTCAATACACATCTGTGATCACAGAAGGTAGAGCACACAAAAATGCTTTTCTGAAGTCAACGTAGAACATGCAGAAAGAAGAGTGAGATAAAAACTATAGTGGTATGAGTATATCTACTATCCTTCTATATTCCAGCTACTTAACTAATTTCATACAATTGGGTTTATATACCATAGATAAAAATACTGTAATCTTAACTCACATACCTGAATTAAGATTATGTAGTCCAGGACAAATGATTAGATTTCTAAACCACTGCTATTTCTTATATATATTTCAATGCTTCAATGTTTCAAATTTGAGAGATAAGTTGCTCCTTTTTGTTTAATTTATCTTCCCATGAAAGCTAACTATTCCCAATAGCTAATTATTTTATATTTTTGCTCTACACAGCAGAATGTTTGACAGCAGAATCTTCAAATGTTAAAAAATCTAAAGAGAATGACTCACCTAAGGCACCTGCTGTTAATCAAAGAGATGATTACTCCAGCTATCATGAAATGGTAGCAAGCTCCCTCCTCAACTTGGGTCAAATCGCCGAAAACACAAGAGAAAGAGCAGAGGACTCGCTCAACCACACAGATGCCAGCATGAGGTATGATTCAGACAAATCTGAGAAGGGGGGCAAGGAAGGAACAGAGCAACATCTTGAAGGTGATGAGGAAGACGATGACAATGATGATGATGAAGATGGAGAAAACGCACATCCCCAGGAGGAGGGTAAATTAACCCAGCCCACTGGTGACAGGCTGACAGGGAAAATGCAAGAGCCAGAAGAGGAGGAGGATGAGGATGATGAAGAAGATGAAGGCAGGGAAACTCGCATGACCCAGAAAGACAACTCAGACCATCAGTACTTCAGTGGCAGGTTCAGAACAGGGCCAAAGGAGAAAGATGCTGAGTCAGACATGCACTGTGAGGAGATTCTGGAAGAGGAGGAGGACGAAGAGGAACAGGAGGAAGATGAAGAAGACAATGAAGAGGATGCAGAAGAAGAGCCTGCTGCTGCCACTCGTGCTGCTGCCACTCAGGGATCTCAGTCTGAAATGCAGGCTGAAGTGGTACAGGAGTCTCAGCAGGATGACTACTCCTGTCACAAAACCGCGCCATCCGTCGTCATCGAGGTGCGATCCGAGGAGTCCGAGAAGGACGAAGACGAAGACGAGGATGACGAGGAAGATGACGACAGCCTCTCGCAGAAGTCGGCGGTCACAGATGAGTCGGAAATGTATGACATGACCAGGGGGAACCTGGGCCTCCTCGAGCAGGCCATCGCCTTGAAAGCAGAGCAGGTGAAGGGCACGCGGGAGCCAGGTCGGGTATCAGGCGAGCAGCTGCGCTATTTCCACATAGAGGACAGGCCGAGCAAGGCTGTGGATGCCATCCGAAAAAGTTACTTCGGTAAAGGTAAAGGTTTGCTTATGAAGTATCCTGTAATTTTTAACTCTTTGTTTCTATCTGTTCTAAAATTCAAAGTTGTAAAATATGGTTTGTCTGAAAGTGAGAGCAGTTACAGATATCAGAATTGCCTTATATTTCCCTTCTCTTTTCAAGATGACATTCGGAAACCTTAATTAGAAGAGTCCATTAACATTTGGTTTAGAAAACTTTAGAGCTCATCATCTATGTTGCCAGCTATTGATCGGGCAAAAGGACTGTTTCTGTTTGAAACTGCATAGTTTGTATTTTGGATGAGTGAGAAGAACCCTCCTTCATGACTGAGGGTATTTTGTTTTTCTGACTAACCTAAGAGAGCACTTTTAAATCTGTTTGTTTGTTATGGTTCGTATCTTTACCTGGACATATTCATTTCTCTTCATAGGTTAACATTTTAAGAGACATTGAGTTCCACTACTGTCCAATATATTTTCTGTATGTGAAGAAATAGTTTTATATTGTATATTTATATCCATGACCAGAAAGCTTTTTGTTCTGGTAAAACTATAATAATTATGTTATTAACCAATACCAAAAGAGCATCATTTTTCAGAGGCCTAGTTTAAAGCTCAACTTTGATTTCTTGTACAGAGAGTTCCAGGCCGGAGAAAAGAGAAATAAAGTGCCCAACCCCAGGCTGTGATGGGACAGGACATGTCACTGGGCTATACCCTCACCATCGCAGCCTATCTGGCTGCCCACACAAGGACAGAATACCTCCAGAGAGTAAGTACCAGAATGGCCATCGCATAATAGAAAATATGTTCTTTCTTTCCAAGTAAAAAGTTAGTTAACAGCCTGCTTTGTAATAAGTTGATTTTCTTTCTTTCCCCATAAATGTTAGGATATGATTAGGAACCTAATAAAATGTAAGGACTGTTTTGTCTTTCTTTAAGCATTTATTTGGTTATTGTTGCCCCAACTTTTATACTCCTTGCATTAATTTCTTGAAGATAATAAATCTATATGTATATTGTATTTCAACAAAGCTTATCACCATATCTTATACCATGTTGTGTAGAATAGACTGCATCTAGGGAAGAACACTTAAAACAATTCGTTCTACATGTAATTTACTAATTTTTAAAACCATTAAATCTTCCCAGAGGAAACTTTTTAGTGTAGTGATTTATTTCGATAGTCTTAATGTATAACATTGTCATCATTCATGGGTGTAACATCAGAGCACTCGAAAGGAAATGCAGTCTAAATTTGACTCTTTCTTCAGTTCTGGCCATGCATGAGAATGTCCTGAAGTGTCCAACACCTGGCTGTACAGGACAAGGTCATGTGAACAGCAACCGCAACACTCACAGAAGGTAGGATTGTACTTATCATGTACTTGCCAGTGAGGGATTTTGTGTGAATGTGTACATTTAATGACAATGTATTAAGAGTTAACCTATACTCTATAACAGATAAGCAATCGCAATTATTCCATTACTCCTTCAGCTTATCTGGATGCCCCATTGCTGCTGCAGAGAAACTGTCCAAAAGCCACGAGAAGCAGCAGGTTCCACAGCCTTCGAGTGACCACCCCAAAGGCAGCCCCAATTCTGATAGAGTACTCAGGTAAATCCTATATATGCTGGAAAGTCCATCCTGTAGAATTTTCTGCAGTGTTCTCAGACCTTCATCTGAGCATCATGTAATGCTGTAACAATTCTAGGCCTGCTTTATCAGAAAAAAAGGAGTCAATCTGTACAGCATGGTTAGTATAAAAATAATTACAAATCTCTAGGGATTAAAAATAACATACTACTCTTTTTTTTCCATTCAAACAATGTCACTAAGTGTAAGAAATCACACTGTGCAAGAAGGAAATGAAAATCACAATGATTTTCAGAATTATGTATCCAGACTTTAATGAAATGTATGAAAACGTACAGAACTAATGTGTGCAATTAGCCACCGTTAATCCATTGGCATCTGTTCTATATTTTGCTTTTGTTTTCATAAAACCATTCAGTTTTAACAAATTCTACCCCTTCTGCTCAGGCAGTAATCTAGTGTTCTAATCCTCCATATCTTTAATTCAAACAGCAACTAATGGCTCATTTATGAAATTACGTTCCTTTGTCTATTATGACCTTTCACAGTGCAGGCCACACAGTGAAGACCAAAGGTTTCAAAGAGCAGTAATCAGCATGTGCAAATTCTCTATGTGCCTGACTTTAACAGAAATCTGCTTAGATTTGTGACAAGCAATGTTTGTCAGAGAATTCCCAAAGCAACTTTGGCTACAACTAAGCAGTCAAAGCAAACAGGAATTTAGTTTTTTTTTTAACATAAGATAAACCTTAAACTCCCAGCACTACAATATGTAAATTTGCTCAATGCGGATAAGACAGGCTTTAATCCTTGGATCTGAGTGGAAAAGTCTTTTACATGCTTTTTTCTTTTCTGTGCCACACAGGCCCATGTGTTTTGTAAAGCAGTTAGAAATCCCTCAGTATGGCAGCTACAGGCCCAATGTACTACCTACAACGCCTCGCGCCAACCTGGCAAAGGAACTTGAAAAATACTCCAAGGTTTCCTTCGATTATGCAAGTTTTGATGTTCAGGTCTTTGGCAAACGTGTGCTTGCCCCAAAGATTCAGACCAGTGAAACCTCACCAAAAGCCTTTAAATGTAAGTATGGCAGATATTTGTTTTTTTCTGACCAATGCTTTGATTATTATACTGTATGTGTGTCCTGGTTTAACTGCAGTGGGTTCAAAATGAACTTTAACATTTCTCAACATGGGCCTTATAAAGCAAACCACTTATTGCAAACATCTACTGTAGGTATGAGATTCAAATTTATTTTTATTTTTAAATTACAAAGCCGTTTTCAGGGATGGGAATTGAACAAGTTGATAAAGCCTTCTTTGGTATTTCTTGCTAGATGGCCTGTAGACAATTTCCCCTCTTTTAATGAAACATAACTGAGATTAGCTGAAATTAAGAATTTTATCTTAAAACTTCAAAGTAGATGGAGAATATTTTGCTTTAAGACAATACTTTTTCCACCTTTTATAAAATCAGACAAGCTACCTGTATTGTTTCAAAGCAATGTTCAAGTAGGAAAAAATAAAAAAATGTTTTTCACATCCGCTCCCTCCTTTGAAAAGGTTGCATTGAGAAAAGTGGGAAGCAAACTTTCAAAACAAGCTCATATTTGTTTTTCATGCATTGCAAAACGGAGTCTTTGCTCTGACATGATGCAATTCACAACAAAGGCTATTTTCCTTCTGTGATGCAGCAAAACCATTCCCCAAGGCATCCTCCCCAAGCCACAGTATGTCCAGCAGCTATGTCAAGAGCACATCCTCCTCCTCCTCCAGTGGCTACGATTACTCCCATGATGCTGAGGCTGCTCACATGGCAGCCACAGCAATCTTGAACCTGTCCACCCGCTGCTGGGAAATGCCCGAAAACCTCAGCACAAAGCAGCAAGACCTCACCAGCAAGGTAAGAGAGCTATCAGCTGTTCATGCACTGCTCATTTGCAAGCCCTCTGGCTATTTTTTTTCTTTGACCAAAACAGTGCACTTTGCCAACCTCTGCAGGCATCTCATTCATGCTCTACAGTGAACTTGCAACAGTACATTCAGAAAACTTTTACTGATAAATTTCATGCTGCTACTCTCTCCTGAATTCCATGTTTTTGCCAAGAAGTAAACATAGCTGGCAAAGCCCATAGCAAATGCATCATCATCCCGGAATAAATAAATGGCTGACTGTGACAATCTGTATGCCATGTAGACTCTACTTTGCTTTAATATTAGTTTTCATCTGCTTTTATAATGAATGATTCTAGAGGGGGATACATTCTGCAAAACCTTTTTTAAAAAATCAATGAAAAGACACATCAAATCTAAATGATCTATAGATTGTGTCCAATACTGTAGCAAACTCCCATCTAAAAAAATCACCAAATCCTCTAAAAATTGTCAATGGATAATAATAATAATACCATTTAAATTTGTGTCCCTACAATAATTCTTAACCAGCTCAGTAATTGTGAATCGTTCCTCTTTTGGGAATAATTAAGAACAGTGACACATTCAAATCCAATATTTCTCCTTATGTTTCTTTTGCTTTCTATGTGTTATCATCCTTTCCACTTCAGATGCTTCATTGTGCTTGCTTTGGATTTTAAATACATGTTGACTTCAGCGCCGATTGCATGATATTGATCCTTCTTTTTTATTAAACTTGGATGCAGCTGCATTCTAGATTAAGCTGGCTAGATATTTACTTTTTCATTATTTCCACTGACTATAAAAGCTTGCTGTGCACAGCAAAGATAGGATGATAAATTTGGGTCAAAAGGATTTTTTGTTTCATTCCCAGAATAATTGCATCTGCACTTTTCCCTTATTGCAATTTTAAAAGGTTTTGCCTTCATGGGGAGTGACTACTTAATCACTTCCATTTCATGACATTGTTATTGGCTGGGAAAAGTAAGATAAATCACTAGAATAACCCAAGAATACAATTGTAATCAGTAAAGGATATTCTGGGGTGCTGCAATTTTCTTCCACTGTGTATGAATTCAGATTTTTTGGTTTTATCAGACCTTTTAATATTGTGTTAGAAATTCCTGAAAGAGTTTATATATATTCATCTGGTGTAGTATAGCAGCAAACATACACAGAGACAATTCCACAGGACCAATTTGAGCCAAGATAAAAGCATGATTGATTGAACTTTCAGTTATGTGGAAAGGTCTATATTGAGTTATGAGGAAAAAGGAAATAACCATTTGTGATTTTATTCAAAGCGTGTTTTTTCCTTAATATTCAAATCATGTTTCATGTGCTACACCACATCTCATTTAATCTTACTTTCACAAATATGTCCATGTTTTGCTGTAATTGGGTCAGAATTATTATTTTCAACAAAATAGGTCTTTTTTTAGCGCTAAAAGTGGAAGATACATTCAGAGCTTTTACAAATGGCAAAACAATGACACATAGTCTTATGGGTACAGTATGTCCACACTGGAGCTTTTTATGTACACAATACACTTCACTTGAAGAACACTGTGAACATAAAAAATTAAGCAATTTTGGCAGCTCCAATCGACAAATTGAAACAAACAAAGAGAGATCAGGTAGTCTCAGTCCACTTGGCTAATGGGCTGGGTACACACCACTACTAGAGTAGTAGAAGTAGCAGTAGAGGGGTTTATTGCCATATGTATATGTACATTGGAATTCTTTATAAACGTCAATGTGAACAAAGCGAGGAACATTCTTTATTTGCAAACAGGGAATGAATCAGGATAACAGCTCCTTTCCTGCTGTTAAAGAAAATGTGTTATACATTTCCAGGGTAAATGTAAGGAAGATCCATCATATCCCATTTGTTTTTTTTTAAATACGTGACAGTAACCTATTCTGACAAAGTATCTAATGTAATTAATATAAATATTATGATAATTGACAATAGCAGTGTGAATTTCAGTCCGCTTCCAGATTAAATACAGTAGACCCACGTGTGAACGGCTAGCACATTGATACATTGTTTCAAACCAAGCTCCTCTGAAGTGAGCGTACATAAGCCCTGAACGACTCCATAAGAGAAAGTAAAAATCTCTTTTTCTAGAGATAGCAGGCATGGAAAATATATAACACAACTGCATCCAAACTCTGCTGACCTGTTTAGCGCTGTCTTCGCAGAACATGGACATCGAGGTGGACGAGAACGGGACCCTGGATCTCAGCATGAAGAAGCACATGAAGAGAGAGGGCAGCTTGTCGTGTGTGAGCCCAGGGGTCCGCTCTCCGGACCAGTCCCAGAACCAGAGCAGCAGTGCCAGCAGCAGCGCTATGACCTCCCCGCAGTCCAGCCACACCTACAAGCAAGAGGACTGGGAGGGCCCCATCGACTACACCAAACCAAACAGGCAGCGCGAGGAGGACATGGAGGAGGTCAGTGGACTGGAGTTCCTGTTGGACTGGAGGACAGTAGTCAGCTTAGGACTCTGAAAAGGAAATTATGTTTTAGGATCTAAAAACACAGGATACAACACAGTTCAAAGTACCTCTGCAGTATTGCTGTATTTTTTTGATTCTTCATTACTGCAAATGGTTTGCTTGTCTACTACTTGTCTACTGTTGGAAGCATAATACAGAAATGTAGTGTTGTCATTTGTTTTTTAAGCATTCAAGTTGTCCTCATTTTGTATCAAGGCACTTCATTCTTTTTAGGATATTTAAATGCATGGGCAGGATTCTTTCACACCAACGTCATGCCTTTCCACTTTTTTCTGGTTACTTGTAATTTTGAGATAGTTATGGCCAATTTTCATTCATGGACATTTAAAACAGTGAAACGATGCATTTTCTCCCAGTTCATATATTGTAGATTCTATTAAAAATACATCAAACTTTTTACCAGGTGGAGCCTGCGTCCCACTCCTTTGCCTCATCAGAGCCTGAAGACTGTGAAATGATTCAGGAGAGTATGGAAGAAAGAAAGTACCCAGGAGAGGTCACAACCTCGAGCTTCAAAGTGAAATATCAGTCCAAGGACTGCAAAAAAGAACTTCTGCTGTAAGCCCACCTCTTGAACCTACAAAAAACTAAATAATGGTCCAAAAACTATTGTAACTATTGTTATATTTATTTTAAATTATAAAAATGTTTACATATTTCACCTTTCACTAATCAACTGTGACATTGTATGTAATTAAGGTTTAATAATAAAAATTACACAGCTGATTGTCATTTAGCTACACTTCTAATTGTGATATTTTGTAAATATCAAAAGTAAAAGTATTGTGATTATTAAGCAGTTATTAAAGCATTCATGGATATCATTATTGTGTAACTTCAGCAACAAGTGGAAATACGTATTCCATTGGCGTGAATGAATGCTGCACGCACCCTAAACAAAGTGATCTAACTGACTCTTCACAAAGGAAGCAGGTGTTTTAAGAAGAGTCAACCCTGCTCGCAAGATGTTTTGTTTAAATTTTTCATGAGCTCAAAAATGGTTTACTGTGATTGACCTTTTTGCAGGTGTCCAACACCTGGCTGTGATGGTAGTGGCCACATCACTGGAAACTATGCTTCACACCGGAGGTATGGGTGCCAGCAGTACAAAGCACCTTCATTTAAATATCCCTTTTCTTTTCTCTGTAAGTAAAGTTCAGGGTTGTTCCACAAAGATGTTTAGTGGAACTAAACACCTTTGTTGAGTTAGAAGATGGATGGGCGATGATTCCATATCATAGTTCAGATCATAGTTAGGGGAAGAGGTATCTTAATGATTAAAATATTTACAGTTCAAATTTAAATATTTATAGTTATTCACGGTGTATTTATCAGGTTCTGGACTTCATAAGTCAGCAGCTGTAACCACTGAAATGCAGACTTTTCTTGAATGACATATACTGGATGGTTCCAGCAAAGGGTGACTTCTTCTGTCTCCTATACCATAATGAGTGAAAGAGCAGCACAGGAAGAGTTTGCACTTACAAGAGATTTCTGAGCTATTTATTAATAAATCTCCAACCCCTATTTATTTATAAATCTCCAACCATATTTTTTATTCGCATGCATACAGTATCTGGGTTTCTAAGGTACCTGCTAAACATTGAACAAGTAAAACAAAGCTCTTCCCAAATTCTTTTAGAGTACTATTTTTGCCAGATATTTCTTGAAAGCTTCACAATCTTTACCTTGTCATGTTCCAGCTCTCTTGGCCTTTTTCAAGGCAACATAACGAAAATGTTGAAACACAATGAGCCTGTTGAGTATCAGTAATACTGTGAAGTAAAAAAAGAAGTAATAACGTTCAACGGAATAGCACCAACTTTGCGGAACCAAACAGGTTAATCAAACCACCTGCCCTCTCTCTCTCTGTGTTCTCTGGCATGTCTTCTGAGCACACTGGACTCTTCTTCCTCCCTGTCACCTCCTTGCTCTCACCAAGCCTCTCTGTCTTCTCTTCCAGCCTGTCTGGTTGTCCTCTTGCTGACAAGAGTCTCAGATCCCTCATGGCTGCCCACTCTGCTGAGCTGAAGTATGTGTGCACTTAACTGAACTGTTTTTCCCCCTTACTGCTGCACTTCAGTCTTTACAGCTTTACCCTTTTTCAGCAAATAATACAAGAAATGCGCTTAAGGTGGAGAAAAGGGGGAGAGAACCTTGAATTGCTTTTAACAAAGGGCTGAAAGGTGTGTGTGGTGAGGGTAGTCGTCTCATTATGTCGTTTAGATGTTTACATGTTTACAAGATGTTTACAAGTTCCTGAATAGTAACTGCCACCCCACCCCCACCCCCGCAAATGAAAATCAAAGAGGCCCAGTATAACATAATCCCAAGGGCCATGTGAATGTATCAGAGGCTGTGACTTCGAATTCATGTTAAATCAAAGGAAAATCATGGTGGGGCTGATGTACACTGGCGTTCAGAGTGTGAGGCTTCCATTCTCAGTGCTGAGTCTGCCCTCTCTCTTGACAGGTGCCCCACCCCAGGATGTGATGGATCTGGTCACATCACAGGAAACTATGCCTCACACAGAAGGTATGCACGGCTCATTTCAGCACCACCTTTTTACTTGCTGTTTCATCTAAGGAATGGCTATATAAAATATATAATTACAAATGCATAGAGAGACACAAATAGCCGTAGACACAAGCAGACACTCACATGTATTAGAACACAAGCTGAGAGAGAGGCTTTTTTGTTAATTAATATAGATCATACGTTTCTTCCTTTTTTTTGGTTGGTTGGTTTCCTCGTTTCATTTCTATAGATTTCTGCAACCAGTGTCGCATGGTGTTATCCGCCTTTTTTTATCGGCTCATACTTTCTATTTTCAGTTTGTCTGGGTGCCCCCGTGCCAAGAAAGGTGGAATAAAAACAACTCCTTCCAAGGACGACAAGGAAGACTCCGAGCTCTTAAAGTTCGTACTGCCAAGAAAGCCACACCTTTGTTTTCTCCGATGCTGAAACACCTAGAAAAACCTCTAAATCATAAAGTACAGTCAAGAGGCCAATTAAGACCCTCCGTCAATGGCATCTCTTTGCTGAGTTGGTGAGATCTTTATGAACCTGATGCCAACTTGAAAAGTACTCAATAACTGACTTAACACCATTTTATTTTACCTCCATACCATCCTGAGGTGCCTGGGTACCTCAGAGTTATATACGATAGTTCAAAATAGTTTAAAAGCAAGTTAGATATCATACAGTTAAAATTAATTAATATAGAACAACAATTCAGATTGTTTCTGAAGATGTTGTAACATGCTGCTTCCAAGAGACACAGCCACAATCATGGTATTGTAGGTTTTTTGTTGCCAAGGAAGAGATAAAGGCTAAGAGAAAAAAATCCAGTAAATATTACCTTGTATACAAGCTGGTGGATTAATTTCCTCTGTGGCAGTCTTGTTGCAGGAAAGATGATATTCCTCCATTTTACACAAATATCTTAGGAGGATGATATTCCTCCATTTTATACCACTTCTCAAAGATGTATCGACCAATAACTAAAAACGTTTTAAAAGTATAACCTGTGAAGGGAAGGCATTGGTGAGGTAAGAGGGCTTGGTGTGCCTTCACATGAGGCACGTGTAGTTTGGGCATTAAATTTCCAAGATTATCATTAGCATTTTATCCTCATAAATGTGAAGGAACGTCCATCAGCCACACTGAGCACAAGGCAATATTAACTGGTTTCATCTCTTCATCGTCAGCTTTCATCTCTTCACCTCTCCCTTCTCTCCCATTAACTTGGCAACACTCCTCCTCTTCAGGTGCCCAGTTCCGGGATGCGACAGCTTGGGCCACATCAGTGGAAAGTACGCTACTCACCGCAGTGCCTACGGTTGCCCACTGGCTGCCCGCAGACAGAAGGAAGGGCTCCTGGAAGGCTCCCCTTTCTCTTGGAAATCCTTCAAAACCGAGGGGCCAACCTGCCCTACTCCGGGATGTGACGGCTCAGGTCACGCTAATGGCAGCTTCCTTACGCATAGAAGGTGAGGGTAACCGATGGTTACAAAGTGGTGTGAGGCACTCTGCAACTCACAGCAATATCGGGAGCTAATGTAGCCTTACAGTGCATTCTGTATATGGATTTTCCCTCGATGCACAACACCGGGAACTGAGGACGATGGCTGTGGAATCCAAATGTATTGGGCATTTCCGAAGTATAACAATGGGGCTGGAAAGTCAAGTTGGGATTGAAAATTGAACAGACTGCATAGACTGTTACACACATTTCTTCATTGTAAATAAATGTTAACAATGCTGGAAACCTGCTCATAACTCATTAGGGTCATGGCCACCCAGGACTCAACCCAGAAATATAGTATGCAAGATAGGACCGGTGTGGATGAGGTGCCCAGAGACACCAGTCAATACTGCCAGTATGTTTTTAAAAGGAAACCAGAGCAGTCAGTGACAATCCAGGCAGATCGGACTTCAAATGCAAACTTCACACTGACAGCACCCTAGTCCAGAATAAAACCCAAGACCCAAGAGCCATGAAACAGCAACACGATCAATCACAACATCTGGGTCACTCTCATAGACAAATGAAAAGATATTGATGGTCCATAACTCTTTGAAATATGTTTCCCCTTTCAGGTTTATTTATAAATGTCCTGCATAAATTGCTGTGTAGTTATTGTTTTTCTCATGGTATCCCAACCAGATGTAATCTGAAAGATTTGGATGGGTGTCTCTTGTGAGATGGGCTACTCATTTCTATGTAATCAGATGTTTCTTTCATCAAAAAAATCAAAGTTTATTTATCAAATGCACAGCGTGCAGTAGTAGTTGCTGGCAATTAAATGTCTTTTCATAGCCTGCTTCATCCCACAGCCCATAGGCCTTTTTTGTTCTCTAAATTGTTCATTTTGTGCTCTTATTTTTAAAATACAAGGAGTACTGAAACTTCATGAAGCAGAAATCTGTCTTCATAACGACTTTAAAGTCGAGTTTCAGTACTTATGAAGTTACATGAAGTATGCAAAATGTGGTCACCAAGGGCAGTTCATGGCTGTTATACTCTGGATAAACTTTCATATTACATCTCAGTATAGGAAGACAAGTCTTACAAAATCATACAAACTGACTGCTTTTATTACCACTCTCCGATTCACATTCATTTTCGGCAAGTACAATGTTGTACAGAATTAACACGTGCTCATTTATTTCTTAGTCTATCAGGCTGCCCCAGAGCATCTTTTGCTAAGAAGAAAGCAAAGTTCCCTGGGGAGGAATATCTAAGCACCAAATTCAGGGCCAGTGATGGTAAGACTATATATATATATCAAATGAAGTACAAAACTTCTATTTTTATTTTACCTGTCTGAGCAGAGCTAGAAATGTAAACCAAGTTTAAACTTCATGGGTCAGCCTGCAGCATAAGATCAGGTTGTGGTTTGTATCATAGTTTTAGAATATTGAGTTGAGTAATTGAAAACCTATATTTAAAAACTAGTTAAATTCTATTTCTTCGAAATTACATGAAGCTATTTTTATAATAGCTTATTACAGTTATTTATAACAAGGCATAATATCACTATTCTGAAAAATTGCGTTCTATTTTATCCTGTGCTACTGTCACCTTATATGGATGTTGATGAATATTTGATGGGTTTGCTTTCACCTTCAGTGCTGGATAATGATGAAGATATCAAACAGTTAAACAAGGAGATAAGCGAACTCAACGAATCCAACACTGAAATGGAAGCAGACATGGTCAATCTGCAGACACAGGTTTGTACAAGCTTTGGTTTTCCTGCAACCTTCATGAAGCAATTTTTCTTCATAAACTACAGAACGGATAGGAAAGAAAAGCATTCTTTTCATTTTTAGCTGTGTATAGCCAAAAGTGTAAACCAATTCTGAAGTGGCCTGGAGAAGCCATATCCTTCTCAGCAAACGAACTCAGCAAAAGATACCAATCCCCCTCAAGATAAGAGGATATTCTTTTGTTAAATGGCTGGCTCTGTGGTAACTCTTTTCTTCAATGAAACATTGCATTTAGATTTCTTCAATGGAAAAGAACCTGAAGAACATTGAAGAGGAGAACAAAATCATTGAGGAGCAGAATGAAGCCTTGTTTATGGAGCTCTCTGGTCTAAGTCAGGCTCTTATCCGTAGCCTCGCCAACATCCGCCTTCCACACATGGTAAGTTGGAGAAAGGCTGCTTTCAGAGTCTCATCCAGTCGAAGTTATGGGAATACACTGCAACAAGAAAGCTTTTGAAAAAGTAAAAGCTTGTAGTGTTTTCTTTATTTATGCGCTTTAATTTCCCCTTATAAAAATAAAATAAGCAGTAGTGAGTCTACAGCTCCCGTTAGACTATATCAAACTGATTATATCTAACTCATTGTGGCATTGCATACTTTTGGAGTGCAAAAGCAAACATCTAATTACTGGAACATTCACCTAACAGACAATTAGTAAAAATCTTGATGTTACACAAAAGCCTGGCTAAGCTGATAAAAAAGAGATTGGAACAACGTGTTTAGATAGCACTGCTTCCAAATGATGAAACTCTTTTCTTTTTAATCACCTCTGCTTTAAATAGTTTTTTTTGCAAGCATAGTGCCTCAATCTTTTATGCTTAATTCTATCTAGCTATCTGATGAGGATTTAAGTTCCTATTATGTGTAATTCAATGAAAGGGCCCAAAAAAGAAAAGGGAAACATGCAACATTGCCCGATAATACCAATCAATGTCGGGGGCAACATGGAACGATAGTCATACATAAATAAAGGTTACACAAATGATAAAGCAGCGTTATCTGCTGTACATCTATGACACCATTTGGTGTTGTTTCTTTCTTGTCTCAGTTTTATTCCCTGTAGCCTCATTTGCGATTGTTTGTTCTCCCATTCCAGCTCTTCCTGTTTTGTTTGTTGTTGTTGTTTTTTGGTTTGGGAAATGACACGGGAGACACTGAGCTGCAAGGAAATAAAATATGATGTGTGAGAAAAAAGGGGGCAGCAGCACCTAACATAATTCTGTGAGTTAATGCAAAGAAGGGTCAGTATGTTACTGAAAGTGTGAACTTTTTAATTCAGCAGGAGCCAATAACTGAGCAGAATTTCGATGCCTACGTGAACACGTTGACGGACATGTACACCAATAAGGAATGCTACCAGAACCCAGAGAACAAGGCCCTTCTGGAGACAATTAACCAAGCAGTAAAGGGTATCAAGGTTTAAAGGACACAGAGACTACGACAAAATGAATAAATTAAAAAAAAAATTAAAAAGGGCATTCAGGTTTTAAAAGGCAATGTACTTCTTTCCCAGGGAGCATTCCTCAAAACCAGGACCAAAATCCAGGCATGCTGCTGCTGGGGGCTTATAGGACAAGTGGATCAGAACCAAATTGTTGTTTTGTTGTTTTTTTTTTTTTGCTGTCCCAGTTTTTGACTCTGAACACTTTGAGATTTGAAGTTGAATTATCAGGATCAAACGGATTAGCAGGTTCGAAATCCCTGCTTGAAAAAAAAAAGAATGTTAATGAGTGTTATTCTTTCTACCATTGAAAAGTCAGCTTACCTATTTGTTGGGGAACGGTCAACAGCTTCTTCTGACAGCTTACCTGAAAACTGGAAAACAAGTTACAGATGCTGTGATGGCCATGCTGTTGTTTGACATCTGTTTACCTTATTACGGGGCAGATCAATACCCCTGGGGATCATTTCTGCTAGTTCTGTTGTGAAATTGGGGTGGCTATCATCCTAAAGGAGAAGAAGAACATAGAAGGGTTCTGGTCAAGGTTGTTTGCCAGATAACAACTAGACCTGTGTTAATTGTGTTCCAAGATCTCCCTGGTCCCCTATAGACCGGATGAAAATCTTATGAATTCCTCACACTGCAGTAGAGAATATATCTTCCAACACAACCTGTTCCCAATTGCTTTCCCTGCCTCATCAGATGTCCATGAACAATACTTTCCTGTCTGATGGTTAAACAAAAAAATACACCTGATACCACCTTTTCCTTAAAGATAAAAAAGAAAAAAATATATTGTGTAAATAAATTTCAATTTCATCTAGTAATATTTATAGTATTTATGAGCATAGAAATTGCACTTCATTTCAATAACTAGTTTGTAGTTTAATTATTGTTATATAAATTATTTAATTTGTATCCGTGAAGGGTAAAATGTAATTTATTCCCAGTATTCTATGTTAACTTTGCCTATTTATTTAACCTTGCCTATTTATTTTTTTGTAAAACAGAATACAGCACATCCAGTAAAACCTTTTACTGTAAATGGCCATTGAAAAAATGATGATAAATTTCCTCAAGATTAACATTTGAAGAAGAAAACTCTATTTAAAATATCAACCACAGTGAATTATTTTATATATTTTAGTATTTATTTTGAAGAATGGGATTTTTTAACCTCTTTTTTTAAGTGCAAATATTTTATAACTGACAAGTTTTGATAATTTTTTAAAGGTTTCTTTTTGTTGATATTTATTTTTGTTTTCCGCAACGTGTTTTCAGACACCCGCAACCGATAAAATAAAGTTATGTATTTATTATTTATTTAATATTTAAGAAATAATTAACAGTGATATTGTTGGATATTTATTTTGTAATGTCTGTGTGTCTCTGTGTTGGCTGAGTATTCATAGTCTTTAAACTTCTGTTGCTCTTTAAAATAAACGAAAAACATGTTCCGCAACATTGTACAACAAGGTGTTTGATTACACAGTGTTTCCATAGTACAACTGCTGTACATCCTGTCAGACTGCAGAAGAAACTACTGTGTCCCCCAGAGTTCTGAGCAGGCATCTGCCCTTCAAGTCAGGAAAAAAAAGACTGTACTTGCCTTCATCTTACCAACGATCTGCCATATCAAAGTGTTCCTGAAATATTGTTAAGCTTTGTTAATATCAAAATGTTTTCATGTCTGTGCTTCAGATTTTCTCGCTTTAGTTTTAATTATTTGACTTTTTTCATTTTTCTTTTAAGGACAACAGTTGCAAAAATTTGTTTCTAGTTAAACAGCGAACGCAAACACACACTTAAGAGAATTGTTCATTTACAGATCATTAAGTCCTAAGACTTTCAAAAAGTGTATACCCTGGTAGCCTTATTCTTGTTTTTGTATTTTTAATGCACAAAGTGCCACTAACTAATCCTTTCTTTAGTGATTTTCATTCAGCAATGATAGACCCTCTGGGCACGTGATATAGTTGATTAGTGATTGTTACAAATGCCTTTTTTTCTTGCCAAGATGGCCATAAATACAATATATAACTTCTGTAAAGAAAAAAGTATATATATAAATATACATATATATTTTTCCAGTGTAATTGTTAAATTTGCTCTTTCTCTTAGTAGCACATCAAAAGAGAACTCTCTGTTCAGATAGCACTCTTTATGAACTGTGTTCTTTGAAGTTGTGAACCCTTGTAAGTTTTGTTTTAATAGTAAGACCATTTTGACTGTGGTTTTAGGATAGTCCAGAAAAAAAAGCAAAGAAAAACAAACAAAAAAGTATGGACACTGAGTTTTCAAAAGTATCAGCTGTCATGGTTTCATATTCTATTATATCTGACCAATAATGTATTGAGCTCCTGTTAGTTGTTATAGAGAATCTGTATCCTATAGTTGTAATATAGTAGCATATGGATATTGGCAAATTCTTTCCTAATAAGTAAGAAAAATTAGATTTTTGTAATATATAAACACCACAGACATGGCTTGGAGGCTGACATTAAGATGTACAGTTTTTTTTTTAATATGTTGGAAAAACATGTTTCCACAGAACAGAAGTAAAGGACAGAGATTAAGATTTGATCACTGAAATTAAACATTTAATGTGCAGCACATCAGGTATCTAATGGACTGTTGAAAGGAAGAATTTCTTACCAATAGCGATGATTCAGTCATGTCATAGAGGGTCATTCAGTTAATAACAGGCCAACAGTGTACAAAACTAATCAAAAATCTTTTTTTTTTTTTAGAATTGCTTAGGGGTGTGAAAGCAAATATAAGTAGCAGTCTTCATTCAGATACATGATTTGTTAAATTATTGAAAGAAATCCGATCTATAAAGTGTCAATTATATAACAAAATACTGCACAAGATTTATTGATTTTACTTTGTAGAGCATTATTATTGCTCCTGAAATGACTGTGCAAAAACTGTAGGTAATTTCCTCTCCTGTGAACTGTTGCTGAAAAATCTGCATTCTATTGTAGTCTACTCTAAAGGAGGGATTCATTGATCAAATTGATCATTGTACTTTGCACATATTATGGATAAAGAAAATTCTACTTGGTTAACTAAGGCCAGAAAAATTGAATTTCCTTTAACAGAGTATGTTTATACTGTACTGCTAAACCCTTTATGAACAAAAAGCAGAAAAAATACTCAGTGGTAGAAAATGGGAGAGTTCCAAAGAGCATTTTCATGTTATTGTATTGGCTAAGACAACACATTTGTTTTTTTTGTTGTTGTTGTTTTGAAATCTGCTGTTTGAAATGAACAAATAATTGCTTTTCCAAAAAGTATAAAAAGGGATTTTGCTTTGTTCGTTTATTTTGATTAAAAAATGTCAAATGTGACATTAATTTTTAGACATGTAATAGCATTTTTAAGAGAAGCTGGTTAATCAGCATGTTTGAGAGAATCCAGATGAAAAGGTCACAGTATTTTCTGTACTTTTCTTATGATATTTTGCCATGTATGTTTATTTCAAAAAGAGCAAATTCTAGGCTGATGTGTGTCGGATGTTAGTAATGGCATCCATCTAATAAATATAAACTAAGTTTGCAGATGACAGCTCGGAAAGAACTTTCTCAACGTAACACCATTTGAAAAATATTAATTGTTCCAAAATCTTGCCTTTCTTATATTCAGATATTAAAATGTGTCTTATCTTATGGTCAGTTGAATTGAAATTTAGTCAAATGAGACTGCAATATGACATTTTTGTACATACTTATTTTCTAATAGTAAGAGTTTTTGCATGTTGGCTTTGCTTGGTACCAGAAGTAATAATACATTGGGTACCTACTCTATTTGTGTAATAGAATGGTTATTAAACTCCTGATGAATAACCCTAGTAATACCATATGAGGCCATAAGTAAACAAAGATTTTCCAGCCACATCTGAATGGCTTCAATAATGATCCTGCTGTGTGGTTACAGGTAGTGGAACAGTGAGCCCAAATTCAAAACACGATGATTACAGAGCAATCAGTACCAATCAGTAAAGTAGAAAAGAGCATCAGTTATTGCAATGTAATTACATGCACACCCAAACCAATATTTTCCATAAATCATAATGCTTGGTTTTCAGTTCAGCAATCGTAGCCTTAAAAACATGTGAAACAGTGCTCTGGCAGAGTAATAGCTCACTCCTGTGTTATATACTGTATATTCGTTCATATCATGTGGCACCCATGGAGATTGGGAGGGAGATTGTATTTCAAGAAATATACATCTAGAGAGCTAGCTGTGCTGGAGTGAGAGATCCAGTCATCATTCCAACACACATTCTATCAGGAATATTAGAAAATAGATAAACTACACATAAGGACCATTTCCTTATTGTCTAGTTCACCAGATTGGCACGACTGGCTCACTAGATAATTTGGAATATTCTGAAACACAATCTCTTTCAGACCCATGTGAAGTAGTTTATGAGCAAGCCATGCCAAGCTTGCATTAACAGTCCAAATAGCTTCTCTGTGAGATACAGTATGTATCTGTGAAATATATCTAGCAAGAATTATGTTGATACCGTAGCACACACCTGAACAAGGCTCCATATATAGCATCGCATTATTTCTTCTTTCTACTTTTCAGGTGGAAAAATATTCCACTGTACTCCTTTCTTTTCGACTTGCTGACATGTATCCCAAATCAAATGTATAAATATGACAGACACAGGTCTGTCATTTTATTCTTCCAGTGCACTGTATATCTAAATGGCATTAAATTGTGGTGCTAGAGAGTTAGAATTTTTTTTAATTATTTTTAGCAACCTCATCTCCTTTTGTAGTCAGTTATCGACTTTATTAACTTCAGTACCAGTGTTCCCTAGTCTTCAAATATTGAGGGTTTTGGATTATCTGTAAAAGATGTAGGACTAAAGCCTTCCAGAGCCAGAATAAAAATGATTGGCCCTTTCTCTTATACTTCCAAAACTAGCATGTTTTTTTTCAACAGTGATGCATTGTAGTCACTGCTAACTGTGCAATCACACATATATAACAATAAAAATACTGAGCTTACAATCAGTCTGTGTGATTGCTAGAGAATATGAATTTGTTTGATTCTTGACAGACTAAGACAAAGAGGTTTGGCACTGCAAGTGCCTATACTTGAATTACTGATATTTCCCTCAAATTTATTAACATTACATAAAACTATAATCTAAATTAAAAATGAGAAAGGCATGTGTGGTAGAATGGTACTTTCCATTAAGCGAATATAACCAAAATTCCCAAGTAGGTACTGTAGCTTAAAACTGTGTAATTGTATCATTTGTGCCTTTCTCATACCATTAAAGCAGGAAGGGTATGTTTACATTTGGGAACTGGGTTCAAATCTAGCTCAGGATGATGTGAATGAAAAAAGACCCTTCAGAGGGTATGAAACGGAAATTAAATGAAAAGTGTTGCTGCTGGGCGTGCAAAGAATTCATATCAATTGTTCTGGTGACACTTTCATCAAATTTCTGGAAAAAAAATGAAACTGTGATTTGATATAATGATTCAGGTACCAAATGGCATTATAGTAAAATTATTTTAGAAGAAGTAAATAAACAAACAAACAGTAACACAAACAATCAGGGCATTATTTTAAAAATGAGTGGCATACTCTGTAAAAATTTGTATTAAAGGACAGTGTTATTGTTGTTGTAAAAAAAAAAATAAAATAAAAAAATCTCTCCTACATACAGTATGTGTAAGAAACTATACAGTCAGGGTTTGTCCTGTCAGCATATTTTTACAGAGAATAAATATTTTTACCGGCAACTTTTTAGGTACTGATGATAGCCTTTGAAATGAAAAGGGTACTTCCAAAAATATTGGTACTTCCACAAATTTAAATGGTGGTTTTGTAGAAGTGGTGTTCCTTTCTTACCATTTTCTAAAGCAGATCAAGCCCTGACCGTATGTGTTCGGTCTCTTGTTTTTAAAGTGAGCACTGTAGATCCACACAGTTTGTGAAGTAATGTCTGTGATTCTGTGTCTATGTATCAGTGTTATAAACATGGAAGCTGATGTTGGTTATTTGTTGGCGTATGATCCATTTCAATGTTACTTATGAAAAATGAGAATAAAAAAATGAAACAATATGATTTAAACTTGATTTTTTTATATATCATCATATAATACTTTTTTTGCCACTTGATATTATATACCCCAA